CCTTATCTCACCAGCAATATGTATCAGGGGAGTGCTTTTCTGCATTGTCTGTGGTAACACACCACGGGGCTGCTTCATCCCTCTCTGTCTCTAGTGCTGATTTTGATTTTTTGAACATTTTTGCTCAGTTTATATCCTGTGGATATATGCAGATTCTGTGAAAGATGGGAAGGGCTGCATTCAGGTCTTTAAGAAGATGTTTTTCTCTCTTTGAGCAAGTTGTTTCTAATATCCGTACTGTTTGTTTATTTTCTGGTTTTCAAAAATGCATAACTGTTTCTTCTGTGCCATGGAAGTGGGTGACTTGGACAAGCAGTTGATATTTGGAAAGAAATTTGAGTTGTCTACTTTTACTCTACCTCCTGTAATTTCTGGGTAAGGTGTGCCACAACCACATAATTTCAAAAGCAGTATAGAAGTGGCAGGACAAATACATTTTGTAGGAGTAAAGAAATTACAGGCACTTAAAGGGGGTTATAAATTCTCCCACTTCTGAAATGGTGCATAAGCAGGGAATTTGGGAGTTACAAAAAAGAAGATTAATCTGTCCCTTTAAAATAGGGGAAAAAAAAAAAAAAAGTTGGTTAACTTCCCTACATCTTGCCTACAGGAAGAAATAGTGAAAAAACTGTAGAGCTGTCTTGACAGGGATGCTCATAGTGGGAAAAAACTTGTGTGCCATATGTCCCCCTACCATCTGTGTACACTCTCTTTTGGGTTGTGACATCTGCTTCTGCTTGATTTTTTGGCTCCAACTCCTGTATTTTTAGAGTAGATGGGAATTGATTCTTCTCAGAGACTGAAGAGAATAGACCACATGCTGACTTCTGAAAGAAAACCCAAGTTTTTCATAAGAATATCTCTCTTGAGCCTAGATCTGAAGGGCTTGGTACATGTATGTATTTATATGAGCCAAGGATGTGTCAGCACTGTCTGCTGTCACTTTTAAAAAACTGATAATTTTGATGTGTCTGACATTTCTGAAGGGTTGGGCTGTAAAGTTAGCTTTGTACCTAAATTAGGAAAAGGGCCTACAGGAAAGCTGGAGAGGGACTCTTTACAAGGGTTTTTAGTGAGAGGACAAGGGGTAGTGGTTTTAAACTGGAAGAGGACAGACAGGTTAGACATCAGGAGGAAATTCTTTAGTGTGA